TCCCTGGTTGTATGTGGAGGGAATGATAACTATTTGTAGAAACAGCTTACTTCACGAGGTTCTATGAGGGGGAGTGAGGAGAACATTTTCGGTGTGGTTCTCTTCTGTTTATTTATTATTTGAATTGTAAATTATAGGACTGCTTTTTATTTATCATATTGTATGATGGATGGTGTAATCTGACACGGTTCATTGCGAGCGTTATTCCGTTGTATGTTGCCGTGTGAGGGACAGAGGCCCTGGAGAGCAGAGCAGAAATGTCACGTGGTTTTCAGCCCGTACTAAATAAGTAAAAAAAAACCATACGGCAAAGTTATCTCAGCGAGCTCAGACCCTCTATGGCTCCGGTTGCAGCAGCATGACACTAAACTACTTTAATTACAAGTCATGTGCTCAGAGCAATCCTTGTCAGAGAATCTGAGAAGAAACGGTTCATCCTTCTGTGGAGATTGTTGAGATTTTCATAGATTCTTCAAATTGTTCAACTTTGACTTTCAATTACACAATCATCATACATATTTGATATTTGTGAACCACCTTAGCTTGTAGCTAAAGAGAAGAAGAATATAAATATATAATTTTTATATTAAAAAAATAAATATTTAATATAGATGTATCTTGTTGAAAATGGTCACTTTTTTTCTGATTGAAATCAAGTAAATAGCAGATTGTTCCTATGTTTAAAAAAAATGAGTTGACTTTGAGGTGATACTTCATATCTAAGAAATGGGAATATGAAAATAAAAATGGATACCATCGCGAGAACATTGATTTTCCTAGGTCCCAAGGTGGTACAGAGATGCTGAATAGATGGAGTTGGTTTGGTATTCTCACCCATGCCTAAGGTATAGAGCAAATCGTTCCTGTGTTGCTGACAAACTGGAACCGTTTTTTCTCAGACACGAAAATCGATCAGAGTTTTCTCAAACAGAGAAACAAGAATAACTCAAGCAACTGCAGATCAAATTGAAGAAGATTTTAATAGATTATCAATATAAGATAGATCTATCTCTGATCAAAATCTGAGTTGATTTGACTCAGTATTGATGGAGTAATTTGCGCAGGATAATTGCACATCACAGGATCAAAGACTTATTTGGGTTAGCTCATTACCAATTTGAGATTAGCTTGTTTAAAAGAGTGACTAATCATTAAATCAGTGTTAAAACAGCAATTATCCTGCGAAGCGGCTGAGCTTGCTGAGATAACGGCAAAGAAGTGAATATAGCCCATCCCATCCAACTCTTAACTAATTAGCCACACGTAATCGTATTGAACATCGTACTGACACAATGTTGAGGGTTATCGCAAACCCCACCGCCCTTGCAGCAGACCTGAAAAAACTTGTTCAAACACGTTTTCCCCTCGCAGAGCCATGGTTTTTCCGGCGGGCAAACCAGCTTGTTCTGTCGCGGGGCAAGAGTCGCCATGATATCTTTTACATGTGTGCGACGGCGATAGGACATCACCCTGGGCCTTGTGGGGTCTTCGACGGGAAGATAATCTGGGTCGAGCGTGTTTACCATGATACCTGGGGCGAGAGCAACGGGCGTATTTTCGATAGTGCTGATTCTCGGTGACAGGGCGGTGGCTATATCCGCTATGAAGGAAATGTGTATGAGAATGGGAAGGAGTATGTAAGGATGGTTGCATTGCTGGGCCGTGATATCTCACTAGGTCTGCCGGGTGTGGCTATGAAAGAGGAAGAGAGAGAATCAGTACCTATCAAGACTTGTAAAATTGCTTTCGAGGCATTCAAAGGGATCAATGGAAAGATGTGCGGTAGACCTATTGTTAAAGGAAAGAAATGTCATGGCGGAAAATTGAAGGTATATATTTATACCTTCTCCCCTCTTGCTCTTTACATGGAGGGAGTGAAAGGAGAAGGTAATTCGCATCATGGATACGTCCGGAATAAGACTTCCGGTCTAGCATCCAAACAGCGCGATAATAAGGTGTTGAAATAGAAAATATGTTATGATGGCCACAGGGAGGTGAATCCCTTCGTCTATAGCTAGACATAAAGGATAGAGCGCATTATATACCGAGGGACCAGGAAAGACAAACAAAGAGAAACACAGGTCAACATGCTCACTATATGAAATACTCATGCATTCCCTTTGAAGCAAGGTGTGCAACGGAGATTTCATTCAACTCTGCAAACAGCAATTCAATCAATTACTGGATCATTGAGAAGATAACGCGCCTCGTCCAGAGTCTCAGGGCTAAGAGCCTATTGCTTCCCTATCCCGGGGACCCCACCACTCCCCATGTTAGCCCCACAGCACAGAGTCCGGCGTACAGCAATTTGGATGCTGTTGACATCGCACACGGCAAGGCAAGGACGAGGACGAGTTGTATGGATTATGTAACCCGCTCAGGCCAGGCTCTAGACCCAATGGGGACTAGTTGCGCGCTTCCTCGACAATGGTGTTTCTTTTTTGTCTGATTTTTCTGCTATCATAGCTTTCTCCTTCACCTCGCTGTTGATTTCCTCCTCCTATCCTGTTCCTGCGTATCCCGTCGCTAGGTGTGCTTTTGCAGTTGCGCAGAAAACTATGTCTCCCCCAGCTCCTGCAATTGCTCCCAGCGCAGGTTCCGCCGCAAAGGATGTCCAGAGAGAATCGGCGATGGCTCGTCTGCTTGGTTCCGGTAGGCTTGTTACTGTGTCTTTGAATGCTAATTAAGAAACCTCCCCTTCTAACAGTTCCTGCTAGGTTCTTCTGGCATTGCGGAACTCCTCATTTTCCATCCCGTACGGCCTCTTCACCCCTCCTTACCCAGGATACCTCCAACTAAATTCTTCTGTCAATTCTCCAGGTTGATACCACCGCAAAACGCCTTATGAGCAATCAAGGAAAGGTACAGTTATGACCAGATACATGCCGCCTGAGATGCCAACTGAGATGTTCGATGTCCAGTGCACTCACACTATTTTAAGATCGCTAGCGTTTCCCAATTGAACAAAGTCGTCTTCAAGGACTTCGCCGATGCCTCCATCGCTAAGAAGTTTACCTCTCTTTTCCCCGGTCTCGGATATGCCGCAGGATACAAGGTATGTTGTTGCCAGTGAAAGCAATACTTTATTTTCTGGTTGTCCTCTTTGCTAATACTTAATATCTATTTTCTTCGTGCTCGCGCGTCTTTAGGTATTGCAACGGATATATAAATACGGCGGACAACCATTCGTCCGGGATTATTTGGCCAAGAACCATGGCTCTTCGTTCGACAATGCATTTGGCAAGGGTACTGGGAAGGCAATCATGCACGCCACAGCTGGAAGGTAAGGAAGCGGACAACGTAAATGAGACTGATGAAAAGTCCCCTCTGATAAGATCATCTTTACTCCAGCTTGATCGGCATTGGAGAAATTGTGCTTCTCCCGCTCGATGTCCTTAAGATCAAGCGACAGACCAACCCAGAAGCATTCCTGGGCCGCGGACTGTTCAGAATTATCAAA